TCCTCTTCAAAGAATAGCAAGGGCAGATCTATAGGAGCTGGAAGGTGACACAGAGTATGAAGCAGCAGTGAGAGCTGTGGCAGACGGGAGCCTTACAGTCCCTATGAGCATCCGGATCCAATTATTTAAAGAACACTGCCAATCAAACAAAAAACAACTTTTTTTTTTTTTTTGAGAGGTTTTTGCTATAGGGCGCGTGCACTCGCCAGAAAGAGAGAGATAGAAAGTGAGAAATCACCCCCCATGGGGGATGGCCACACCACAGTCCCTTCTCCTCCATTCTCCTCTCTGGATCTTGGGCATGCACACACATGTGCTGGTGTGAGTTTAAGCCACCAGGTCTGGGACTCGAACTGTGGTCAACTACATGGGAATCCAGCGACGTAGCCATTATGCCATCTGCTGGTCCCCCAACTTGTTTTCAAAGTAGGCATCTCACATATACCTCAGTGATACTCATCTTCACTGTCTGAAATGTAAGAGCACAAGTATACCTAACATTCCTTACAACCCATCCTCACCAGTAATTGATACACTTGTCAAATGATGAGAAATAACTGCAGAGATGTACCCAAGGACAACCATTAGCATGATCGTGTAGGACCCATAACAATCACTGAGCTTGCCCATAGGCATGGGGACACTTGTTTGTATTTCTAACCTGTTTACTGCCACACAGCTTGGGGTGATGGACAGACACCCAGAGCGCTGCATTATAAAGTGGCTCTGGTGTGGCAGAAGCCAACGGTTTGACTGCCATGTGCTTTTAATCTAATATAGTTGATAGTGATTAAAAATAGCATTTTAAAAACTAGTTACTAGTATAGGCAGTCAGTGCTTTGTTCGTGGAGTCAGACTATCAGGATGTCCAGTATAAAAATGACCTCTTCTAACCTCGCATTCCATGCTAGAGTCAGCACTGTACTATCCCCGAAGAAGGGTCCCAGCTTTGGCTTCAATATCTCCAGGGGTGCAGAACTGGCTGCCTTTTGAGTCACGTAGCTTTATCGTCACGTTGTTGGTCAGAAAGTGCTTCTCATATTAAGGTGCAGTCTACCTCTCTGTGTCTTCAACTTGGGAGTCCTGGCACCTGTTTCCTTCTTTTTTGGTCATTCCCTTTTTTGTTCTTTTGGCAAGAAGTAGCAGATTACTGTGTTTCTCTGATTCAGATTAAATTAGGTTTAGATCTCTACTTACAAGAGTACACCAGATGGCCGAAGTCTGTCATCCTTGGAGGGGCGGCCCCTTCCTCGAGTCATACGAGTCCCGAGGGCTGGACTGGACCATTTCAGCTGAGCTTCCGTCTGTCGTGGCCGCCACCCACACTCGTGGCCTGGTCGGTGGTCCATGCAGCCACAGGCAGGCAGCCTTACTTTCTCCGTACCACCCCTCCGTGCCCAGACCATGCCTTGCATGTGCCTCCCAGCGTTGATCCTGGTGATGGCGTCCTGCCAGTGGCTTTATTTATATCGTGTTTTGTCTCTCCCACTCCAGGAACCTTTCCTCCTCTGTGAAGGAAGGACTCAAACCATGAACACTTCTCCTGGAGGACAGTAACCTGCATTCTGTGCACACGTAGTGACCGCCCCCTACAGGAAGGAAAGCAGGGTGCATGCCCAGCAATGCCAGAACAGTTCCCTCAGCTTCTAGACTTCTCAATCAAATACCTTGATTATATTGGGTCATCAGAAAAGTAATGATGCCTTTTTGCATAGAGAAATATAGAAAAATATGTCACAACTTTTCCAATGACCCAATAGCTTTACCCTCAGTAGGGTGCCTGGAGAGTTGACTGACATGTCAGAGTTTGAGGCTGCTCACACGTAGACAAAGACCATGGCCATCTCACAGGGTGTGTGGGTCAGCAAAAATAACCCGTGTGTGTGCTGCAGCGGTGCCTGGCCACCAGTCAGGATGTGACGTCAGTCCTTCCTCCTCCCCTCACCTGAGCTATTTCCAGCTAAAACACGGTCTCAAGAACATGTCTCAGTGGTTGAACTTCTCAGCAGATGCCAGGGTTTACCAGCTGCAAGGGGGATCCTTCCTATAGCCAGATGGCTCCAGCGCCTCAGCAAACTGAGTGTTCTTGGACAAGAGTAGATTTTACTTTTACTTTTCTTTGCCTGTTCTCTGCTTTTACTGCACGCTGCAGCCAGAGATTTACCATAGAGTAGGAGGTCTTTATAAAGCACTGTAATTAAGCAGTACAGTACATTTTTATAGAGGAAAGTTGGCATCGTGTGCCTACTGGACGAGACCTTGGCTGGCATTGCTTCTTATGCAAGGTAGTTTCTAAAGTTCGGGCAGGAGGTGAAAATCACAAGTCACATTACCCTTGAGCAGCACTTTGGAAGGTGTGATGGTATTTGCTTCCTTGGTGTGGGAGCAAATCACTTTTTTCTTTGGTCGAGCCTCAGATGAAGCCTGGAGGTTTCCATTTATGGGCCACGCTGAATGGAAAATATTTATTTTTAAATGTTGGCCTCATAGGAACTGAGACTGGTTGAGGGGAGGAAGATTCCATATTCCCACTAGTGCACTTCAGGGTTCACACACATAGGGTGGGAAGTTGGTCACTGTAAAATGTTTAAGATTCTTTCTCTCTCTCTCTCTCTCCCTTTTGTCTAGCACATATTGTTAAATTCGTGTGAATAAAATGCATGTAGGTCTAGCAAGGAGCACTTCATAAAAGTGATGACATGAGTCTTCATGGCCATTTAGAAATGTCACATGAAGTGGGAGACCTTCCGGGGAGGGTACTGCTCCTGGAATGGCATCTGTGAGGACTGAGGCAGCCGGGTAAGGGGGCTGTCATGCCTGCTCTTGCATCTTTGCGTGGCAGAGGGGAGTGAGTGTGGCAGACACCTGGCACCTGTGTTCTGACCTATGGCAGAACCGAAGGGAGCCGGGGCCTGGGTGCTGCCTGTAGCTGGGGCCTCCCTGCATGTACAGACTCCTGGGGCACGCGCATCTCCCCGCACTCTAACCACCCCTCAGTACTGATCCCCAGCTCAAGGTTACTATTTGAGCTTCAAATCCAGAGTCCATTAGATGTTTCTAGTTCAGTGTCACAGACTGCAAGCCTGACCGTCTGACGTAGACTAAATGCAGCTGGCAGGAGCAGAGCCTAGGGGCTCCTGGTGGAACCTGCTGGGTTAACAGGACATTCTGATGCTGGAGAACCGGATAAGAAAGTCTTGTTTAAAATTTATTTATTTATTTTTTAAGTTTGCTATAAAGCATGTGAGTTTACTGGAGGGGGAAGGAGAAAGTGATCTGTCACCCTGGGGGAATGGCCACACCACTCTCCTCTTGGGATTCTGGGCATGCATACATGGGTGCCCAGCTTGATTTTCTGTTTCTTTTGTTTGTTTGTTTTTGTTTTTTTGAGAGGTTTTTGCTATAGGGTGCGTGAGCTCACCAGAAAGACAGAGAGAGACAGAGAGATAGAAAGTGAGAAATTACCCCCCCTCCCCTTGGGGGGATGGCCATGTTGCAATCCCTTCTCTTCCATTCTCCTCTCGGGAATCCTGGGCAAGTATACACATGCACCCAGTGTGAGTTTAAGCTGCCGGGTCCAGGACTTGAACCAGGGTCGACTACATGGGAGTCCAGCAACATGGCCATTACGCTAATTGCTCGTCCCCCCTGCTTGATTTTCAAGGTGCTGGGTCTGTGCAGCTGGCCATGTGGGATCCAGCTGTCTTAACCCCCATGCCACTTGCCGGCCTGAAGGCCGAATCTTACATGAAGAGGTGCAAAATCCCAACTTGGTTTGAGTTTAACCACAAGGACTGCATTCAGGATAATTGCAGTACCTTAATATTTCAAGCCTGTGATGCTATCGGCTAATTTGACTTGTCTTTATGAAAGGTGGAGATGATATTGGTGGTCTAAATCTTTAAATGACAGCTGTCCAGGGAAGTGGGTCATGGTGTCTTCTCTCAGTAAATACCCTGGAGCGAGCAGAGCCTTCAGAATGACTCCACTGACCTCAGAGCTAAACTGGGATTACTTTCCTTAAAAATAGCCGCTGCAGAGTTGCGGGATTTGGTGGGGCCCTGGAACCAGACTTGTGTGGAGAGGCGACTGGGCAGTGAGCCACGTGGGGTCTCCAGATCTTCCTCAGTACCATCTGTCCGTGAAAGGCTCCTTCTGCCAGACGCTTGGTGGGGGAGGAACGAGGGCAGGGAGCAGCTGAGGTCATTAGAATGACCCAGGTGGGGAGCGCTGAGCTCCGAGCGCCTTGATTCCACGGGCAGTCAGTGGAAGTGCTATGCCGAAGCCCTGGATACCGTGAGCAGGCCTGGATTCCTGGGCTAGGACTCTGTTCTTTTGCCTTGTGTGTCTGCGTGCTAAAACATCTGACCTGGCTCTAAAGGAATGCCTCTGTGCTTATCCAGTTCTCCAGGTCTCTGAGTCTTGTTCCTTCCACGAAACAGGCTCTGCCTTGGACATACATGGGCTTCCGCACACCCCTTCTTCCTTTGCTCACCTCCCCTAAGTGCACGGTCTGGCTCAAGGTCAAGTCTCTAAGGGCAGCCTGGTGGCCTATGTGGAGGGGTGGAAGGAAAGGCGGTCATTGTCCCTGACTTGTGGGATGGTGGCCAGGATTTCACCCCTGACACCACCATGTCCCCTCTGCAATCTGACTGCCTTACCTCTTGCCTCTGGCCTCTTGGTCCTACTGTCTGGCAAGGCCAGTAACTGGAGCTCCGAATTGAAACCAGAGAGCCAGAAGCTTATTAGAAAGGGTGAAGGGAATATGGTGGTAGGAGGTGAGGCATGGATGATCAGGAGACTGCAGGGCCTATCTGTAGCTGTGCTGTACCCTCTGGGGCTGGGCCTCTGGGGCTGTGGGCTGAGATCAGGGCAACAGGCTGGGTTGCCCAGTCTTTCATTCATTCTTTCTTTTTTTTTGAAAGAGATTTTTGCTATAGGGGCAGGTGTGCTTGCTGGAGAGAGGGACAGAAGATGAGAAATCACCCACCACGGGAGATGGCCACACTGCAGTCCCTTTCCTATTCTCCTCTTGAGATTTTGAGCACTCACACACGTGTGCCCTGTGCAAGTTTTTTTTTTTTTTTTTGGAGAGATTTTCGCTATAGGGCACGTGCGCTCGCCAGACAGAGAGAGACATAGAGACAGAAAGCGAGAAATCACCCCCCAGGGGGGATGGTCACGCCGCAATCCCTTCTCCTCCATTCTCCTCTCAGGATCTTGGGCACGCACGCACACATGCCTGGAGTGAGTTTTAAGCCACCGGGTCCGGGACATGAACCGCGGTCGCCTACGTGGGAGTCCAGCAACATAGCCATTACGCGAACTGCTGGTTCCCTGCCCGGTGTGAGTTTTAAGCTGCCAGGTCCAGGACTCAAACCGTGGTCGACTACATAGGGATGTAACCGTTATGCATCTGCTGGTTCCATCTTATTGTTTGATAGATTTTCGGATGTTCCCACCCTATGTTGACAGGAAATGTGGTTTTCACATGATGTGGTCAGTACACTAAGCTTTTAAAACAATTTTCTTCCAAGTGTTCAGATTTTCTGTTTCTTTTCTGAAAGTGCATATTCTCTTCAGTCCTTGTAGATTACAGTCTCATTTTTCTATACAAGAGTGTGTATATTTACATGAAATCCCCTCTTACCCCTACCCTGTAGCTCTTGTGAGCAGAAAAAGTGTCTCTCACAGGGAAACTCAGATGGGGACACAAAGTTCCAGCTCTGCTGGGCAGGAGGATGAGCTCTCTGGATGTCAGAGGGTTGCAGCTTTGGGAGTCGCCAGAGCTGATTGAAGAGAGAAGCTGTCAGGAAAGGAGAAGGGAGGCCGGGGCACCTGACAGAGTGGTCCATTGTTCTGAGTCAGGGCAGGGGCTGATAACTGAGGACCCATCTATTTGGTAGAAGCTGAATCTTTGTGCTTCTCTCTTAGATTTCCCTTCTCATCCTCTCTAACCAGACTTCCGACAGATATTTTCTGAGCACCTTCTCTGCAAAACGCCCTGCCACCTGCATGGACAGCTCTTTCTAATCAAAAGGCTCACGGGGCAATCTTGGGGCAACCGCTGGAAGGCTGGTTCTTTTGCTGTGGCATCTGCATCTCCAGATCATGAGCCTCCTGTTCTGTCTACCTCCTGTGCCCTTCCTGTGACACTGGGAGTAGCTGTCACTCCAGCGGGCTGCCTCCCTGAATGGGCACTTGTTCAACTCTCAGAAAAGGACCTATTTGCACAAAGTGCTTTGAAGGCTGCCTGCTCGAGTGGCTCCCAGTCTTCTTGGCCCTTTCCCCTGCACTCTGCTGTTGACATGGTAACCACGATCACCGCATTAAGCACAGCCTCTCCCATGCAATGAACCCTTATTCTGGCTCCAGATGCGTGAACATGATGATTTAATTTAAGCATTCCGATGGTCCTACAAGTTCTTGACCTTCCAGCTTTTCAGATGAGAAAACTGAGGTTCCAGAGAAGCCAATGCACTTGCCCAAGGTCTGATAGACTCTGCTTACGTGAAAAGAGTCAGTCCTAGAACTCTGGCAAGTGCCCCCAGGCTCCGGGCTCGGTAAGGTGTGTCCCCATAACTCCCCGGGCTGCTGAACTCTGGCAAGTGCCCCCAGGCTCCGGGCTTGGTAAGGTGTCCCCATAACTTCCCGGGCTGCCTCCACAGTGACACTTACTTCCTGGACTGTCACATTTGCCTCCTGTTCTTTCTTCTCATTACACGGGGGGATCCCCAAGGACAGGGGCCATACCTCGTCACTGTTTGCTTCCTGATCCCCAGAGCGGTCTCTGGCACTAGTGTTTTTTTGGACACTGGCTGGGCCTCACGTGATACGTCATGGCAAACATCTGGAAAGGCAAGGAGAAGGTGGGGCCAGAGTTTTCTGATCAAGACTGGAAGACACGCAGGTTTCTGTTTTCTAGTCCTGTATTGGACAGGGACGTCGAGGGAGGTGGCGCACGCCAGCCACCGGAAGCCTTGGAGGATGAAGAATATTTAACCATCGACCCTGCCGCTGAAGGCCAGCTGCCCTGTGGGGAATGTCTGGAAGCAGATTCAGGAACCATCCCCTTGCCACAGTTCTGTTCTTGGGGCACTCTCCCAGAGTCTTTGTCTTCAGAAGAGTCCCCTGAGAATGAGAGTGAGTGGGAAGACCTGGAGGAGCCCGTGGACCTGGACAGTGGGATGCTCAGGTGGGTATAGCTCTGGGCAGATTGAGGCTGAGTTCTTCTAGCTGGGCTCAGTGTTTGGTTCACTTTGGCTGGGGTGACGGTGGGCATCATGGAGCTCCCCCTGGGGGCACGTGTCATCACAACAGCCATCGTCCGTGAGCACTTGCCGTGGTCCCTGTTCCACGAAACAGCCCTACAAGGCAGAGACAGTCATTACCCTCATTGTACATTTGGGACTTACCCAGGGTCATACAGTAACTGACAAGGTCAGAGTTCAGCCCCCGTCTCCCCCTCCGGAGCCCGCACGCTGAGCACATGGAGGAGTCTGACCCAGTAGGACCCAGGATCTGTCTTGAGCCTTTTGACCTATACCTCTTAGGTTGGGCAGCACATTGGCAAGGCCGCTGCTGTGTAACCCCGACCTAGGAATAAGACTTAGGTGAATTAGCATGTCTGCGGCCTTGCCAACGTGCTGCCTGACCTAAGAGGTATAGGTCAAAAGGCTCAAGACAGATCCTGGGCCCTACTGGGTCGGACTCCTCCAAGCACACACCTGTACCACTTCTGGTGTGTAGGCAGGTGCACTGTCACTCCTCAGGCTTCTCTCTTTTGGGGGCTGCATGGCCCATCTGATTCCCGTCTCTGCTCTTGCCTGCCTCTGGGCTAAGTGTGTTTCAGAGAGGAGTCCTGGTGCGTACCACGGGACCCTTTTTATGTGGCCATGATAGCTGCGTATACTGCGGAATCAGGAAAAGTCAAGCTGTCAGCTCAAGGGTCACAGAGCCGGGGCTGTTCACCAGGCTGGGGTCCAGCGTATTGATGAAGCCATGAGAGGAGTAAGTGGCAGACTAGGAGGAGAGGAGGGTGCACCTCAGCAGGTTGCGAAAGTGCCTGACATTTTGTTGGTAAAGCACATATGATGTGTGATTCCAGTGTAAAACAACTGCTGAATGTTCAAAACACTGTCATGTAAACACGCTTGCAAGGTGCATTGAAAGTTACCAAGGTTCGGTTGGTGAAGATTCGGCTGTAATTGAAATACATATATTTACTCTCATCCTGTTGTGTCCCAGCTACATTTTTCTGGAGGTTTCAGAAGTTTGTCACTACAAATGATGGGACTAGATTCTCAGAGGCTAGTAGCAGACAAGCTGATAAAAAAAAAAGTGCACATCTGAAATTCAAATATACAGAAGGGCAGGTTCTTATCTGAAATGGGAAGCTATGAGTTAATAGAGTGGATGATTCTGAGGCTTTGAAGACCATGCCCTGCCATTTGTGGGGAAGCTGGACCATCTGACAAAGTCTGGAACCAACAGACAGCGATTTATATGTGGGGACTAATCTTGCAGTGGCTTCTCAGGGCTGGGGAGCTGAGAGAAGGCTGAGCAGTTTGTGGGGACCACAGCAAACAAGTATCAGTGCTAATGCAATGTGCCCTTGAGACCTTCGGTGCCTCTGAGCCAGTGCGGAGGAGCAGGGAGGGTAGGGCACAGTGGTCAGAGGGACGCAGGTCCTGGCCTGGCTTTGCCACTTACTAGTCGAGAAATCTGCAGCAAGTGACGTTGGAACTATCAAGATGGAGCTGATTTCCAAGTGGCGGTAACCAACCCCACCTCATGCTGTTCTTGGGATAATCAGATGGGAATCCATGCCAGTGTTTAACGGTGATACCCCTGGAGTGCTCCGAGAGGTCCTGGGATGCAAACCCAGGACGCTTTTTGTATGGGTCTAGTGGTGTTGCTGCTGAGCCACCATCCAGCTCCAATCCTGTTGTTTTTTCCATGCAGACAAAGTAACGAGGCAGTTGGACTTGTGTCCTAACATGAGGGGTGGGCTGGGACGGAGTGGGGTGGGAGACATACTCATCTATGTCTAGGGCATCAGGGTCTGGGTCCGTGGACTAGCCCTCCACTGTGGATGATGCGTCCTGACATGAACACGTCTCCTGCATGGAAAGGGGAGCAGGCCTCACCATCCCCTGCCTATAAAGGATAGGCACGCACACATATGACCCCAGGGCATGGCTTCGTGGAGCTGCCCACAGTGACGATTCATGGTGTCCATTGAGCCCCATGTCAGAGTATGACTGGTAAGCTTTTTCTTTTTTGTATCCCTAAGCCTTGAAAGCTCAGAGTATGACTGGTAAGCTTTTTCTTTTTTGAAAAAGCAGCCCCTAATAGTCTTTAGAGTCTCCAAAGTATCCCTAAGCCCCGAAAGCTAAGAGCCTCTGCTGTGTATGCTCTTGTCCATCCCGGAAGTGGAGACAAGGATGAATAGGACTGTGCTTACAGATGGCCTAGTGTGTCCTTCAAGTCTGTATTACAGATTAGCTTGTTTGGTCCTTTTGAACATTGAGACAGTACTAGCACACAGGTAGTTTCTGAAAGTGATTTAACTTCATCTTCACACCAATCTTGAAAGATACTGACTGAGTCTCCTTAATCTGAAAAGCTGAAATCTGAAATGCCCCCAAATACGAAACTTTCTGAGCATATATATGATGCCATAAGTGGAAAATTCCACAACAACCTCATGTGGGAAGTTGCAATGGAAAACAAACAAATAAACAAAAACAAACAAGCAAACAAACAAAACAGCAGGAACCAGCAGGTGGAGTGGTGGTTAAGGGACTGGACACTCCCACATGGCCAACCATGGATCAAGTCCTGGACCTGGTGGCTTGCTTTTTCCCTTTCTTTTTCTCTCTTTGTGTATCTCTCTCTCTAGTCAAATTAAAGTAAATGAATGAATGAATAAATAAAATTAAATGATTCTTTTTTTAAAAAAAAACTACTGCAATACAAAAATATTATATCAAATTACCTAATAACCTTCAGGTTACGTGTATAAAGTATGCATGAAACATAAATAAACTTCGTGTTTATATTTGGGTTCCACTTTTAAGATATGATGTAAATGTAAATATTCCAAAATCTGAAAAAAATCTGCAATCAGAAGCACTTGTGGTCCCAAGCGTTTTGGTAGGGGGTACTCAACCTGTATTCTTAGTTTGCTTTTATAAACAGGCCTGGAATGGAAGGTTTTTTAATTCGCCTGAAATCATACAGCTCAGTGGGTGGAGTCACACTACATCTGTCTGAGTCTACTTTTGGTGCATTTTTGCATTTCCTCTAGGACGTGTCTTCCCATGTGATGCAGCATAACATGCTTGTCTTTCTGTCAAGTGGCACGAGTCCTTCTTTTCCTCAGAAAATATTTCTTTTTTTAAAAAATGATGTTAAAAAAAACCCTTCTACTTACCAAGGGGACTGATATGGGGGTCTGTTTAGGGAAGACTGCTGGCTGCATGTTGAGGCCCCCAGTTAAAAACTGCTTATTATTTTAGGTGAACACAGAGAATGTCTGATGCAGAACCTGAAGGTCCTCTCAGTGGAAGACTGCTTAGCGGACCCTGCTCCAGGGATGTGCCTACTGGCTCTGCCACCAGGAAGGAAGTCTGTGGGTCTCTACTAAGGTGACCTGGATGGAAAGCTGGCCCACATGTTAAAAGCTTTGAAAAGATCATGCCTGCCACTTCTGAGACTCATTTTGATAGTGGCTGTGACTTCTCTTCAGTTCTGGGGTTTATGTTTAGCAAAGCTGTGTGTGTGTGTGTGTGTGTGTGTGTGTGGAGGGGGATCGGGTAGGGGAGTGGGGGTTGCGGGTTTCTCCTCGTGAAAAGAGTTGAAAACCAACCTCCACCATCAAGAGAAGTCAGGGCAGGGCAAGGTCTTGCTGTGGCCCAGGTACACACTTTCTGGGAGAGATGCAACATTCCAGTCTGCGTGTTTAGTTCCTCATTGGTC